GTTGAAACATGCCAAATTGTTTGGGGGAGCTGTTTAATTAAATCAGCGAATGTGGTCCATTTATTTGTATAACTTTTATCATGGGCTGCCAACACAATTTTATTGAAACTGCCAATTGGTAAGAAAGTAATTATCATCTTAAACAAACCTGCTTTTTTAACCTCTGCCTTCAGCACTAAATAAGGGCCAACCCCTTTATTTGTATCACTGGATAAGGTATGCTACTACTAGAATTTGTTTGAATTCTGTTCAATGGTTTTGGAGAAAATGTCGTTAAAATTAAAAAATGTTAGACCGCCGCATAAGCTGAACTGGGTTCTTATTACCAGGTCAGCTAACAAAGTAAAGTACATATCCATCAAGTTAAGTATCTACACTACACTTATCTTATGGTATGGTGAAAGCTGATGCGTTTATCTTATGATGAGGAGTCAGATACACTACCGTGGTCATCATTTCCAGGAAATGGGAGATTTTTTTCAGGTTTACGACTCGGCGCCACGGTATACATGTCACGATACCTAGTCGGTTAGTTATCCCGATATTTCTGCAGGGAATCGAGAAATTGTCATTACATCTAAATCACCATGTAAATCATCTTCCTATTCAAAATTAACTCCTCACATTAAATATAAACATTAGACAGACTTTCAGTTTTTAGATAATCCAAAAGACATGTTCAGCTCATGATGTTCCTAGTGGCACTTCATTTCTTTTGACTCACAACTGCCATGGTATTGCTAACGGTTCCAAAAAGGGATTGCATAGGTTTCTATTCCCATATGCTTACAACATGAAATTGCTTGAAATTCACCTAATGAAGTACGTAGTTCAAGATTTCAGTCCAAACATGTTTTTTTTATTTCATCAAAATGTATATATAGCCCTTGCTGCTTGAAGGACGTTGTGTGAACTTGTATTAAATTCTGTTTTTAACAACGACAAACTGTAGCTCACTCTCCCCTATGGGAATCGGATTGTTTGATATTATTTCCCCATCAATATTATATTATAGAAATTTTCCCAAAGACAGCTTCACTTTGAGATTATCTGGGTTTGTTTTTATCATGCAGCTGGTGACGTTTGATTTCACTTGCGTGCTACTGTAGCGATTGAATGGCGTTACTTTCAATGTTCATGCAGGCATGAACGCATATTGGTTACATCCACTTCAATGTAAATATATTGTACCCGACTTGTGTTCATATAAGCATGGACATTGACAAAGATGCCTTTTAATAATACATCTACATTCTCTTGGTAAACACGTAAATATCCTCTAATATCAGTGATATTACACTAATTATATTGCGTTCGGACTTCATTGGAAATGGAAATGTATTCACATGAACCTGAATATTTACCAGAGCTACTCGAGAATGGACAAACGCTAAGTCGGAATTAAACAAAGAGACACACTGAGGTAAAAAGTCGATTGACCAAAGGTCAAGATCATACGGTTCAAAGGTCAATGTCAAATTTTGCATCTTATCAGTGATGAACATTTTGTTATGACATTATGAAGCAATGTTGATCAGAACTAAACAAGGAGTCAATTGACAAAAGGCCTAGGTCACCAGGTCAGAGGTCAAGGTCAAATTTTGTTTCTTTTCCCTGATGATCATTTTGTTATGACATCATGAAGAAAAGTTAGTCTAAATTTAACAAAGAGTCAACTGACTTAAGGTGAAGGTCACTGGGTTAAAGGTGAAGGTCAAATTAAGTGTCTTTTCACTGGTGAACATTTCGTTATGACACTTTGAAGCAATCTTGGTCGGAATAAACACGGAGTCATTTGACCAAAGGTCAAGGTCAAATTTTGTATCTTTTCACTGATGAACATTTTGTTAGGACATTATGAAGCAAAGTTGGTCGGAATTAAAGAAAAAGTAAAATGACCAAAGAGCAGGGTCACTGGGTTAAAGGTCAAGATGATTTGGGTACAAAGGTCAAAGACAAAGTGGATCTCTGACTTTGACCCTTACTCTTGATGGAGGAGGTATTGAAGGTGAAATAAAACAAATCAAAGCTAACAAATGGTTATTGCACCGGTATTTACATTTCTGTTAGCCCAGCAAATATGGAGGTGGAAGGAAACAAGACTCACATTGTAGTACATGTAAAATGTATATTTTGCTTCCTTGCGATTCTTTTTGAAGTCAAAATGTCAAACGTCAAGCTCAGTTATATAGGCAGATTGCTTCTTGATGATTATGGGATATATATTGCCACAAGACGGGCCCTTACTGACCTGTCGGTGTACTAGTTTTGGTACTTGCTGCTTTCTGTTCAACTTAAAATAGGTAGCGGTAAGGACTGGCACCGATCGTCAGTGTGAATTCCGCTGAAGTACTGTGCTTGGTTTCTTTGGAATGGTATGTAAGTGAGGTAACATAAAAGTCGGTATCAGTTTCGCACGGAAACTAATAAACTAACATACCGCTCCCAGCACACAAGCATGCATTACACACACAGAAGCTCGTCTTGACCATAACTGTTAATAGGGCGCTAAATCAAATCATACAACCAATCCTCAATTCTACTAATTATATTGTACGCCACACGATAGTTGACTGCTGGTTAGCGGTCACTCCCATAATTGACACAAAACACTTGCTTTAGAATTAATCATCTCTTTTAGTCAAAGGTTGTAAATTGATATATTTCTACATAATCAGAAATGCATGAATTGGCTTTATATGTCTCTATGACTGATGAGTCCTTAATGGACAAAATGGTGCAGTAAACCAGTTTATATGGTAGACCCTTTCTTGCTTTTTAGATTTTTTTTTAATTATTAAAAAAACAAAACTACCACTATCCAAAACTTCTTTAACTTCATACTTTGACATCTACATATAGAATAGTTGACTCACCACCAAAGAACAAATGATGAACGTGACAATTTGATGAGCGATGGCGACCCACACATTATCCTGGATTTTGACATGACCAGTGTTAGCATGATGGGATATGCATGTGGTAAGGAGTCCAGGTCTAGTTTGCTAGAGTTATTTATCAACTTATCAACTGATTTCCTTTCTTGTCCTGTCTTGATGTTATGGCATTGTCTCCATATTTCTTGATGTTTTCTGCCATATATTGAAGATAACAAGAGGCCCAGAGGGCCTGAATCACTCACCTGGGTATATAAGCAATCATGGCAAAATATTCTCTAAATGAGATCCAAGGGAATATGCCAGACCCCAATGCCAATTCTTGTAGTATGTCTGTATTAGATTGTTCATGCCCAACAATTTAATGTATGGTTATGGGGTGGGGATCCCAATTGTTTCCAAGCTGTGACTCTGGGACTATGTATCAAAGGGTTGGGCCAGACCCTAGACCATCCTGGAAGCAAATGTGCATGCTTCTCTTTATACTCCACAATTGTATATATGGCTATACCATGGGGATCTCAACCATTTCCAAGTAATAAACTTTTTTTGGCCCCACCCTTAGCACGGTGGGGGGTCAGCCCAACCATTTGTACAATTTTGAATCTCCACTACCAAGGATGCTTCCGGTTAAATATGGTTGATATCCATCTCTTAGTTCCAGAGAAGAAGTCGCTTAAATCAATATAGCGCAATTGTCCCCTTTTGGCCCCGCCCCTCAGGTCCCCCTTTACTGAAGAATGCTTCAGACCAAATATGGAACAAATCCTTTCATTCCTACAGAAGAAGGATTTTAAAGAATTTGCTTTGTTACCCCTATTGGGCCCGTCGCTCAGGCCCCTATGGGGCCAAACCCATGATTTATACAAAAATTGGTTCCCCTTCACCAAAGGATGCTTCAGACCAAATATGGAACAAATCCTTTCATTCCTTCAGAAGAAGAAGGATTTTAAAGAATTTGCTATATTACCCCTATTGGGCCCTGCCCCTCAGGGGCCAGACCCCCAGTTTATACAAAATTGGTTCCCCTTTACCCAAGGATGCTTCAGACTAAATATGGAACAAATCCTTTCAATCCTACAGAAAAAGAAGGATTTTGAAGAATTTACTATGTGTTCCCTATTGGGCCCCGCCCCTCAGGCCCCTTGGGGGCCAGACCCCGGTTTATACAAAATTGGTTCCCCTTTCCCCAAGGATGCTTCAGACCAAATATAGAACAAATCCTTTCATTCCTACAGAGGAAGAAGGATTTTAAAGAATTTGCTATATTTCCCCTATTGGACCCCGCCCCTCAGCCCCCAGGGGTGCCAGACCCACCATTTATACAAAATGTATTCCCCTTCCCCTATTTCCCCTATTGGACCCCTTTGGTCAAAATCTGCTCAGTCGTTTATGACGAGTAGCGATATTTAGGAAAAGTTGATGGACGCCGGACGCCGCACCATGGCATAAGCTCACTTGCCCTTCGGGCAGGTGAGCTAAAAACTGAAGGGAGGCTCCCCATAGAGATTTACTGCTTAAAGTTTCTATTGACACATGGATAGTATATGGAGCCCAAAGCTTTGATATCGCTTTTGCTTCCATGAAAAAATCATATAACATAAGACTGAATTGTAATTTCTCATTGACATGGCACTGGTTGATATTCTGGAATTTTTGGGCTATCCTTTTTCTCTCCTCAGTTCCTGTCTTTTTGTATTGACTTTTAATTTAGGTTTTGTTCTTGTCTGTTGATGCTGTGCTGTAGGCAATAATGGCTAATTATGCTTGGAGTCACTCCTCATTCTCAACAGTTGTAGGTTTGTTGGTGTTGTCTAGTTATGATATTAAGTCCATTGCATGAAAGAAACATGTCAAGTTCATGTACATATTTATCATAGGATATTTAAAGAAAACATCTTACACACAGTAAACACATTTTACAGATCAGAACAAGATTTTAAAATGTTATTATAATTCAAGTCACTAGTCTCCTTTTGCACAACAGGTATTACAGACCACATTTTTTTAAATTTTCCAAATACATTTTTTTCGCCAAAAAAATATGAATATTTAACAAGCGAATAGCTTTAATAGTCATGGATACAGCTCAATTTGGAAGGAAAACAATTCTGTTTGTAACACATCCTTTTATTGTGATTGCTTCAAGTTCATAAAAACAAAAAGACAGACATGAAGCTCTGAAATCTCTGATCGGTATGTAACTCTTTTGTATTTTTATCTTCAAAACGATAACAAGAAAACTGATGTTAAAATATACAAGTTTTAATTAGACAAAAAATATCTGTATACTAGATGGACGGAGGAATGTGTATAGAATAATTCAGTCTTTCATATAAAATCAAGGTCTATCATGATAGAGTCTTGAAATGTTCAACACGTTCTTGGTAAAGTTTGTAAAATTCATTGGCTAAGTAGTAGAATGGGGCTTCCACATTTTGGAACTCTTTCTGTAAAAGAATAAACAAAGACAATCTAAGATCGACAAAATTTTATGTATTTTTTTCTAAATGAAATTAATGCATTTATAACATAGTTTAAAGAAGAAAATTAAGATTAAATGTAATAAATAATCATTTTAAGTTAGAAATACATTAAGATTAAATGTAATAAAAAAACATTTAAGTTAGAAATACATTAAGATCTTATTACTTTAATATAATATTGTGTATATGTATACACAATATACATTGAAATTTTGATATTTGATAGAATAAATTTACTTACTGAGGAACACTCAAAATATTTCAGGCCATTGGATTCCGCGAAGTGTGTGGCAGCCTTTGGACTGATCACTTGTCTCTGTTCCAAGTCAATTTTGTTTCCTATGAGAACTCCTGTGAAAAAGAACATTTCATATGTGAATGAATGACTCAGTAAACGATGATAAACCTGGAATATCTGGAATAACCCTTACCAAACATAGTATGCCAATACTAGTTATCTCCCTTCTGTAAAATCATTATAACCATGTTTGTCTGACCACATGACATTGATGTTCTATCCATGTGGTCAAACTATAAGGCAAGAAATAGGTATACACATCTACCTTTAACAAAGTAAGAAAAGGAATGAAACAAATTTTGTAAAATATCTTTTTTAATCAATGCATTTTTATTTTGTCTAATAAACGTCAACACAAAGGCAATAAAATTCATGGCATACATACAGAGAAATGTCCCAGGTAGTTATTCAAAACTATGCTTCATGAATGCCATTGTACTATTTTTCGCACATCAAACAGTGTCTTTCAACTTGTGATCAAGACACCATTGTGCCTAACTGTATATGCAGTAAATGAAATGTAACATCAAAATATAGAAAATAAATTTAGAATGACAAATTATTTTCAAGTATGTTTTTTATGTAATATGGATGAATTGCCTATTAAGAATTTATTCCAGCAACGCATATACATGTATATATATATTGTGAAAACAATCTTAATTAACCAAGGGAGGTAATCCATGTACTCATTTAAATTGTGTTAGGTTGTGTATTTGAAATTAGGTAGACTGACATTCAAAAAATAATTAAGTGATGACAGTTCATTTAAAGCCATTTGTTTGTAGGTTGACACTTTCTTGGACTAAACCAATTTCTTGATGGGAAATATAGATCTATTCAGCTTTTTTAGATTACTTGAAAAAATGTTGCCGACTTCTGGGACAGCTCTATTTTTTTATTTTATTTCTAAAATTACCTTAAATTGTAAGTTCCAAACTACTGTAAAAACCCATGTAATTTGCGCACCTGTGTAATGAGCTAACACTGTCTCTATGATTACCCGTTAACAATAGCTCTACTAATTGAAATGATTTGCAGACGGACCGTGTTGTTTTTGTTTTCACTCACCAACACGTGGCGTGAATTACGAAGCCCTACTGCATTGTCATAACTACAGACTGATTTGACTGAAAAGGGATTATAAATAATATGTTTATGCTAGAAGCGTGGACAATCAATACATCCTCTTCAAATCTACTCCAAGGAAAAAAATAGTTAACGCAGACTATTTTTACGATGCTTCATTTAATAAATATTGAAATAATTCACGAGGTTATTATCAATCACGTGTTTACGTAATGTTAGACGCGAGATCAACATGAAAGTGAGCCGGAAAAAAAACATGCTATACGTATACGCATAGGCGATTTGAAAAAACCTTACAGAACTTACATGGAACGGAGCTTAAATTGAACAACTACATTTTCGTAATAGTATGGGGAAACGCACCGAGATGTCGAAACGTAATGTCGTAAGTTGATCGGCGATTCTCTGGCATAGGAATTTGGCTAAACTTTTTTTGTTAACGGTTACCTATTTATTAATACTTTTCACATAAACTCACATAACAACACATTATGTATCTTTTATTAATGTTTGACATAAATAAATTTGTTGATCGTCATTTGTCTTAGAGTTCCGTGTACCAAGGGACATAATCCAAGATGGCGATCTCTCAGAATCGTCGATCTTTTCCTGAAAAAAACTTGAAATTTTCTATACCTGTGTATTTTACGCACCCCCAACTTTGGGTATTAAATTTCTGAAAAAAAAGTGCGCAAATTACATGGGTTTTTACGGTACATGGTTACCGTTAAAAATGTACAAATTCTGGCAGATTTTTCTAAAGACAGGAACAGATGTTGGCTTCAGAATAAACATAGGCCTTCATTTACTGCAGATCTAGTGTATAATGGTGTCTTGACACCAAATTAAAAGAATGTGATGCAACGAAAACATTATGAATGTGTAATGGTGATTAAATGAATAGCTGAATTTACAGAATCTGTATGTAGGCAATGAATTTTGTAGACATTTATCCCTTGAGCAAACAATAAACAAGAGGCCCAATGGGCCTGAATCGCTCACCTGGTTTTAATCTCACACTTGTAATCTTAAAAGTGGACAAAAATTCAACTACAGGCAGAATATCAGTGTTTGATTCATAAAAACTTACTAAAAGATTAAAACATATGACGCCTGTGACCTTGAATGTTAAACAAGGACATTAGGTTGAACAGAGTTTATAGTCTTCAAACCCAGCATGCTTTTAGCAAAATATCATTACACCGGATTAAGAAGTCATTCAAAGGTTTGAAACATATTTGACCCCTGTGACCTTGAATATAAGTCAAGGTCATTCATTTGAACAAACTTGATAGCCCTTCATCCAAGCATGTTACTGGCCAAATATCATCACCCTAGACCTTTTGGTTATTCAGAGGAAGTTGTTTAAAGATTTAAACATATTTGACCCATGTGACCTTGTATATAAGTCAAGGTCATTTATTTGAACAAACTTGGTAGCCCTTCATCCCAGCATTTTATTGGCTAAATATCATCACCCTAGGCCTCTTGGTTATTCAGAAGATGTTGTTTAAATGTGTTGTACATATTTGACCCCTGTGACCTTGAATATAATTCAAGGTCATTTATTTGAACAAACTTGCTAGTCTTTCATCCCAGCATGTTACTGGCCAAATTTCAGCACCCTAGGCCTTTTGGTTATACAGAAGAAGTTGTTTAAATGTTTTGAACATATTTGACTCCTGTGACCTTGAGTATTTGTCAAGGTCATTCATTTTAACAAACTTGGTAGTCCTTCATCCTAACATGTTAATGGTTAAATATCATTATCCTAGGCCTCTTTGTTATTCAGAGGAAGTTGTTTAAAGATTTTTTAAGACAATTGACCCCTGTGACCTTGAATATTTGTCAAGGTCATTCATTTGAACAAACTTGGTAGCCCTTCATCCCAGCATGCTTCTGGCCAGATGAGCTAAAAAGCACTATTTAATGAAAATATTTAACAAAATGGTAGACATGTATAAGGCAACATCTTGACTGTAGGCACTTCATTCTGATAATGTTGATGAAACTTCAACCTTCTTTTGTCTCGGACTTAACTTCAGGAAACCAAGCGAGGAAATCATGGTCAATTAAATGTCTTTTGTAATTAGACATCCACATGTGTGAATATTGGTGAAAATGCATTCATATTTACAATGGCAGTATATTGAAATATAGAAGTACTGATAATAACATGAAAAACAATAAACAAGGAATTTATAAGATAGGAAACAGTCTAACTCATACATACATGCATCATTTAAATGTGACAGATTTACCTGGCATGTGAACATCTGGCTTCTCTGACCGGACGCGTTCTAACCATTTAGCACAACTTGAGAAAGATGTCTCACTTGTCACATCAAAAACAATGATGATGACACTGGGGTGGTCCCACTTCAAGTAAAATAACATAGAATACAACCATTAAGACATTAGAATATTATTATAGGCAAATGATGAGGTGCACAGATATACAATATTGATGGATGGTTTGGTCCAATGATTATTCATAGTCACAGCGTGGTAACAATATGGAATATGGAATACAATTACCTTCCCACGACAGTCAGAGCTTCTGTAGTATTGTCACAAAAGATCATATTTTTTTTTAAATGTTACTTTAATGAATCAGATTTATAATAAAATATTTTGAGGAGAAAATAGTTAGTATAAATTTGTAAAGTTTGAGAATTAAAGCATAGCTCTGATATCTTTTGATCGGAGACATTATCCCACCAGTAACATCAGTTATTTACAGTCTTGAGAAAATTCCAATCTGATGATGAGAAATTATGTTTTCAAGATCAGGAATCAGGATTTTTTCAGGCATCTAAATTATAAAAACGTAAGAAAAATTCTCAAGCAGCTATCTTGAATTATCGGGGATTTCCCTCAACTAGCTAGCTATATACTCTTTCCTGCAGGAAATTTTGAAATTAAATGGGAAATATTACTGTAGTTGAAACATTACAAATGTATTGTGGTAGTGAAAACCCTGTGCTCTACAATCGTTATCACACAACCTTGTCAACCTCTCTGCATGTGTATAAATACATGATTTGTTTCATGTATCACTAAACTGTATTTTTAATAGGATATTAACGTATACAATTTGAGAAAATGCTAGGTATTTATTGTGTTACATTAAAAAGAACAGAAATTTCAACAAAAGAAAAAAAGACATGTTGGTATTTAAAATTTCACAACTTACAAATTTCTTGACATAATCGGAAAAGATTTCTTTTCCAGCAGAGTCATACAAAAACAGCTCCTGTAAAACACAGAAAATGTACACTCAATGCAACTACAATGTACCACTGAAAACCTTTAGTTCTCATAATTTGAAATCTGTATTTGATGTTGAAATCATCTTAGTATTTACATAAGGAAATTATATAATGATACAGTTAATCACATCTTGTAGTTTTTACATTGTAGTATCTTTGTACCGACGCCTGATACAATAACACTAACAACACCTTCACAAGGCTGAGACCAAATTACAAAATCCAGCCATTTTATATTACACTGGTCCATTATCGTTAAATGTACTTGTAACAGCTGATAGAATTACAGTGCCTACCACTGAATCTCTTGTTTCTGGAATATTGACTGATTTTACCAGCAGCTCGACACCAGCAGTCTGAAAAGATAACAATCTAATTTACGATCACCGACACAATAAAAATAAAACAAAAGTCTTACAATGATGTATACAACACCATTCATTGTCTTAAAATTCACTCAAATTCAGACTGTTTTCATTCAACCAACTACATGTAGTATCCTCAGAGAAATGACCAGAGAAGCATATAAGCATGTAAAAGAAATACAAAATGTATTAGTAAGTAAGATCAAATTGATGTAACTGAATCTACCTAGATTTTATATTACCAACATGAACATATTTTACACCTTTTGTACAGCAGAATTCATTTGTGGATTTGATTTGTTATTTCATACAAAACAACTCAGTGTACACACACTTTTACAATAGCCAATGTCAATATTCATATAACCTACTCGTACATATTTTACACCTTTTTGTACATGTATACATACAGTTCACTGGCCATTTGACCAAGATGACATCGAAATGTCACATATAAACGTTTTTCTGGTTGTGCTACATAAAATATCTAAAGTCTATATTTACCAACTTGAAGAAAAAGCTTAGAAATAGTGGGAGGGATGTAAGGCAAAGTAGGTCAGTAATTTTACAAGTGGGATCTTGGCACCTTACATCGTAAGATCTTCATTTGTTCTACGTCAGTTTGATTGTTAATTTTCCCTTCATCTTGTGGTAACTTTTAATAAAAAAAATCTGTAATGCTGGATTTGAGAGTGTCTTTTCAAAGTGAGGTCATTGTTCATTATTTACTTCTTTAAAAATAATGACAAAAAACTTGAACTCTCAAAACCAGTGGCTGTCTGAACAGTGGTGACCATTTTATTTTCCCTATCAGTCCCAAAATGAAACATGCACAATTTAGGAGCAAGGGTAACCTCCATATGAAATTTGAGAAAGATCTGTTGAATTATTTTTTCTTAAGTACTATTTGATAAAGGTGGGCTAAACATGCCCTTGTCACATTGTACCAGTTTCACACGTGACATGTATACATGTAAACAATATATCAATCAAAAACTCTTTCCTATATGAACTATCTGGATCACTTAAAAAGAAGTATAAAATGAGGTTTTTGCATTGTGCTACATCACTGCCAACCACAAAAAATGTGTACCAAATACATACTTCATAGGTGGGATGGCTGACTCGTGTCAGGAATGGGTTCTTATGAGTAATACTTTTCAAAAGGTATGCTTAAGTAATTATATGTTTGTTTCTATGAATCAATAGACTTTAATGTGTCACATTAAAATGTCAAATTATCCTTTAAGTGAAAATTGAAAAATAATCTGACAAGAAAGGCTAGCCCATGACAGAAGATGCATGTTGATATTTATATATTTCCAAAATGTTTGTTCCAATTCTACATTTTCAACATGAATTTTTTGAATGAGGATAGATAAGGTGTTGAAAAAAGAGAAATCTATATTTTTAAGTATGAGTTGGAACCTTGGTTATTTTATATGAAAATACTTTTTTTTTCAATACACCATTTATAATACATGTATTAATATTTGTTACTTAGAATCTATGAGTACCTAATCAATTGTGATGCCACTGTCATAGCAGGTAAGAAGAACATGACTAGTGAATGAATACCCAATTTTTTTCATCAGCAGCCAGAGTTGTCCTCACGGGATTGCAGAGATTCAGTATGTGTCTTTGAATGGTCTGCTATGACGTAGATCAACGCAAAAACTAATAAAAAATGCAGTTTTGCAATATTGTCCTACTACCCATGGTATATTCATTTTCCGTTTTGAGGCAGACTTTTGGTTAGAGGTTTTACATCCTTGCCACAGCTTAGGTCATAGGAGTACATATGCCACAAAGTATGCTTACCAGTAATGTTTGCCTTCTAATTTACAGTGTATGATGTTTCTTCCATTGTTGTTATGAAATAGGCTAGGACTACCACTCAAAAGTGACAACAAATGCACTGAGAAGCTTCCACAAGACATTTGTTTCAGTACCAAGATGTTTCAGCACTTGTGTATGACATTTCAGTACTCCCAAAGTTATTGAGATATATTCTAAGATTTTCTTGATATTCTTGGGTACTGAAATCTCTAGAATGCAATAACTTAAGATACTAAACTAAGATATCATCATTATACATTTTGTTTATGTAACGGAAGTTAGTATTTTTCAATACCTACGCTAGGAGCCGAACAAGGGACCTGTGCTTTATTAGTCTTACGCTCTACCAAGTGAGCAAAGGAGAAATTCTCCCTAGCGCAGTCCGTAGGAAGCGGCCAGTATTTTACCAGAGTGACATACTCCCCCTCTAGGAAAGAACTTGTCTTGAGTTGTAGAGGACAATGTAACAGCTAGAGGTCATTATTTTTTAAATGCCTCTGCTAGGATTTGTACCCGGGTCCTCTGGTTTACCTGTTGTCAGTATAATGTGACCGGACGAAATGCTGTGCTGGTTGCCTTCGGCATTGTGTTTCAGTGAGATAGCAATATAAAGTCAGCATCAGATCTGACTATCACACACAAGGAGGCAAGCACACAACATACCCTGTCTCCTGCACACACACAAGCTACATACACTACACACATGGAGGCACGTCCTTAAATGACCTTAGCTGTTAATGATGCTTAACAAAAATAAACCAAACCAAACCAAACCAAATTACTAGTCTAACGCTCTACCAATTGAGCTATCTAGTCAACATCGATTGGCCCAGTCCAATATCTGCTACATTTATAGGACCATATAACAAATGCATGCAGTACAGGCAGGACATTGGTTCAGCTTTTTTAAATTATTACCATTGTGTAGTTCTTTGCAAAGTGAGACCCATCACTATGAAACATCTGGCTGATAGAACTTTTTCCAACAGTTGTATCGCCTGAAACAATAAAATTCATTACAAAATTTTCACAATCTGATAATCCTGTTGCTCAGATAAGCTTTATCAATTCTGATTTTGAAAGCACTGATGGTGGGCACAGACTAGCTGTGATTGCCTTCAAATTTGATAGACCGTTTCGCAAAATCTAGTAAATTATATATACAAACAAATGTAGCTTATTCATTTTATTTCCAACGTTGTGTACATTGTCTTGCCGTTTGTGAATGCTTTACCTCCTTATACTTGCAGCCAGGGCAAAGTAGGCCCGTGTATTAATATCAATAATTCACAGAGAGCTTGTTCCATTATAATTAAGGCATTAGGTTATTTTTTAAAACCCAGTACAGAGGAAACCAGGCATTAATGATAGGTGCAACATTCTCTGGATGATTGTTCCATATTTTAACAAATCTTATCGTAAAGAATTTCTATCTAAAGAAATGTGTTACAGGAAGTTCTACCTCTTTCAATATGCCTTAATTGTTGAGACAGCTTTCCATAGTTTTACAATGTAGCACAAATCTCATATAGATTTTTTTTACCGTTCAGTATCTTGAATATCCCCCCTCCCCCCAACTTCTCTGTATTGATAAGGAGGAAAGTTTGGGTTTCTTCAGTCTCTGAGAATCATTTATTACAACTCTTATTGAGTTTCACTAGGTGTAACAGCTACTTTGTCGTGGCAAAGGCAAAAACAAAAGTTTCAATTAACACGATACGGCAGTGGTGCGAGGATCCATAATATATTCCTAATATACCCTTATAATCTGTCTGACAACGTGGACCAAAATTATTCCATTTTCATTCACCTAAAATAGAATTCAAATTACACTGTTATTCCACATAGGCCTATCCAATTCACCATTTTGATCGAAATTACTGCACTAAAACTGAGGATGTCTCGCTTGCTCAATTCAAGTCAAATCAATTTACGATATTACAAAAAAAAACTTCGACATTTTCTTAGTGGATATGGTTAAATACGTACCAACAATGACGCATTTTGCTCTGAGTGTAACCGGCATTTTTACTCGTGTTGCTTTGCTATATAGGCCCTATATAATTTGTGCTTTGGAATGTTGTTTTGGTTGAGAAATACAAAACCCGAGCACTGACTAAGCTATGTATTTTGATTGGTCTACTCTTTTCCACCAATCGCAACCAATGTAACATTGGCCTCAGAAAACCGGAAGTTGGGGAAGCTGGAAAGTTCATCGACGAAGCAACCTTACTTGTTGGTAAAATACGTCCAAAAATTGCAATGAAGAAAAAGAAGCAAGTTTTTGGGTCAGAAATATGCAATATGTACTTCTGCTGAGCACAAAGTCCAAGAAGGATAGTGAATAGATAATCGCTCTGTTCTTCTGTGCGACCGTGTGTTTTAGGAGACGGATGCTGAATATCGTCTGAGAACGTATTTCATCAACATCGTAACGTGCTATGGGATATGTTATCATGGAGTAACGTTTTCGAAATTCCAGAATAAGTGAAAAAATATCGATGAAAATGCAAAAACCTGTAGATCGAAATTTTACTTTAGCAATGGAGAGAGGAAATCATCTCATATTGCCCACTGCTTTCCACCCAATTAACAAATACAATCAATCGCATTTGGTTTTTGATTTGTATATGGCAGTAGCTTCGGGAAGTACACAAGAGGCCAGGAACATCCTTCTATCATATCCACACGTTGATTTTAACATACCAGTAAAGGGTGCAACAGCTTTGTCACTGTCTCTTTACAAGAGACATTTTGATATTTTTAATCTATTGATGCGCCACTATGAAAAGAGCAAGAATCTGAACTTAAACAAAAGCAGCAAAGATCATTTGAACCGTGTTGAGCCACCTATTATTACAGCCTGCCGAATGCATTTTCTTGAGGGAGTGGTTGCATTGGTAAATGCTGGTGCTGACATCGATGCAGCTGACAACTACAATCACACAGCTTTGTGGGTAGCATGCAGACAACAAATGCCAGACCTAGTGGAGTATTTGATTTCAAATGGTGCTAGTGTCAATAAAACCGACCAGTTCAACCGTACCCCACTTCTCACAGCCTTAACCTACAGGGTCAGCTCTTTTATCACAAAAACTCTTATTGTCCATGGAAGCAATTTACAAGGTCCGAAATACCCAATTGGTGGCACAAGCGCACAACATAATCCTCTTTTCTGGGCATCAAAGCACAAAGCAATGGAAATTGTCAAACTTTTGTTGTGTGCAGGTATACCTTTGTGGGAGATTCGTAGTGTGAGAAGAGCTTTAGTCATGGATGGGGACAATGATGTGGCTATAATAGGGCTATTAGATGCTGAAATCAACAACCCTCCAAGTCTGAAACAACTCTGTCGAATGGAAATCAGATCTTGTATCAGCAGAAACTGTAATGGGAAAGGGTTTTTGAAAAATATTGAAACATTACCACTTCCTGTTATATTAAAACAACATGTGAGTCTCAGAGTATTGTATATGTAAGATTTGTAATATAACCTACTGTGAAAAGATGAGTATATATGTTGAAAGTGTATGTTGTGTCTTTACCTGCATGGAACGCCAAATGCAGTGATTTACCGGTACTTGAGACTGCCTAGATCTGAGTTAGTGATTAAGTTTTCACTGTATATCTACATGTATGCTATAATTTTGGTGCAAATAAAACCACATGGGTCAACAGATATTTGTTGTAAATTAACAAAACAATAATATGGAACAGATTGGGCTTAGACACTAACTTCATTACCCAGAAAGATTGTTGATCTTTAATGGAAAAGCTGGGGGGCCTGGTCATAATGAGAAATGATTATTTCTCGGCTGCAGTCATGCTCTCATTGAAAATTTGAAACTAGAAGTTCTTTGGAGGATTCTAAATTATTTTGGAGTACATATGTACCTTGGTATTATATAGCTGCTTTATTCCCATGTGACATTTCTAGATTCTTTTCTTCAATGCCTGAAATTGCTGGTTATATGTCAGTGTTTCGAAACATCAGGCATATATCAGCCTGTCGTGAATTTTCGGGCCTTGTGGCCACCAACCTTACAATAGATTATCTCCAGTGCTTCAGATGTGGTTTACTCACACGAGAGTTTGAAGTATACAGTACCATAGATAAAATGTTTTCTGCGAGAATAGGTCTTGACTTTTTATATTAAACATTGGGCCATTGTATACCTAAACAGTATACTCTAGTACATGTATTTATAACAAAAGTGATTTCCAGTTAAACTAAAAAGAAAAAACTAACATTCTGTTTCATGTATTCACTATTAGCAGAACTTTAATTTTTGATGCCAAGATAATTATAAGGTGTTGATGTTCTGATTTTCTTCAGTCCTTGCCCAGAATTCTAAGGATATTGCATTTTTACATGCTTTTGTCATAGTCAACCATGTTCATGTATATATATAAACATGTATGTTCTTACAGGAAAATTGAGGGATCAAGGTTTACTTTATGTGGTGACGCATGTACACGTCTGTATATTTGATATTCTGACTGATCAGGTACACAATTTACATGAAATTATTGAAATAATAATTTCTTGAAAACACTATTTTATATACATTTATGATGTATTCCTTCATTGATATGTTTTGTATATATACACATGTACTATGTATATATTATGTTGATATGTTTCAGGCATTTTTTATATCCAGTTACAAAATTAATGTTTTAGTACAATGCTGAGCCAGCTGTTGCTTGCCCATGAAAAAGTCCTTTATTTTTTGTGGTTCTGTGTGACATGATGATTCACATTAAATTCATATTGAATTCATTATTGTTAATGGCATTCTTCTTTTGCATTAAAGCTTTCAATAGTACGTGTATTTGATTAATTTTGTGAGTGTTATTGGACTGTTGTTGAAAGTCTACCGAGTATTACATACACTATTTTTACGTAATGTTAAATGCCTTGTAATTAACAAGATTTGTTGAGTTTATCTAAATTTGAATATAGCCATAAAAAAACAAATGTGTGATTTAAAAATTGCTGGGACCATTTGATACTGTAAGAAGAAATAGAAGCACTCTTACATTGTTATGTTGTATTGATGTAGCTAGGCCAAAGCATACTGGTATATCGAGAAAAAATATTTTGTCCAGACTTGCCTTTAAACTTCAGTTTTCTCCAAATACTCATGAAAAAGCTTTAAAGCTATCCTTCAAAGCTCATACAAAAAGTTTAATCGAGTTTCGCCATTGTGGAAAATAAATATTGTGTGAAAGTAGTGACTGTTTGGGGACACAAATATTTAGTCCTGGTCTCATGATTTTCCTGACTTTCCCACATTTTTAGAACCACTATGTATTTAGTAATGGGACACACTTAGATAGACTTTGGCACACAGATGAATTGAGTTAGTCTTGAGACAAATTAATTGTAGCAGAAGAAAATCTGCTAAATTTATCCATTGACTGTACAATGCCATTGACATCAACCATGTTGGAAATAATTATTTATATTAATACACCATAAAAAAACACATCGTAAGTATGTTTATTTAAAAAAAATCTATATGTTTATTTAAATTTGTTCAATATAGCTGCAGTGATTGCTAGATGATGTGAAATTTGACACAAATTATATGCTCAGGCAATGTGAATCTGGTGCATGAAAAAAGAAACCAGCTGATCAACAGGTGGTAGTGTCATTGATTCCACCCTTAGTAGAAATTGAAATCCTAAAATATTGGAGTGTTTACATGAAAACCTGTACAATGTCCACAATGAAAACATATGCCAGTTGACGTGCTGTACATGTAACTGTTACTGCTATTCCAGCTATTAAGTTTGTATTTTTATGTATTCATTTTCTCTATAGATGTACGATGTGCTGACTAAATTGGTGTTGAACAATTAGAAAACATACTGATTTCATACATGTATATAAATACTTTTAAATGGTCCAAGTTAAAATTTGTGGAACTATTTCAACTTTTATTTTGTCAAAAATTTAGAATACAAGTGGATATTGCATGGTGTTTGTTAGTGATATTTTAGTCTGTGTGAGAACTGATGTGAAAATGTTGTCTGCTGTATTTGTTTAGTGCTGTGATCAATGGCTTGATTGTAGAGGTAGTAACAATAATGTTATGTCTCTAAGATTTATATTTCATGATTTAGCATTAGAGTCAGTATTTATTTACAAGTGTAGTGGCTCATTGCATGATTTAATGGGTAAATGAATGTTCTGATATTTTCATTACTGTATTGTAAATAGAATGCCATTTCTTGTCATCTTGTTCATATAAATTTGTAATGATAAGGAAGAAAGAGGGAGTTGAGTGAACCCATACCAACCATGTTTACTTGTTTATGAGATCATTTACAGTGTAGTATGATTGTTTAGATTGTAACAGCATATGATCTAAAATTCTTGCTAAAGAATTACATAGGGTCAAGATAACCCAATTTCCATTATTGATATTCAATACATGTAATGAATGAAACATAAATAAACCTTATTTGAAGGCTTTAATTCTTTTACGGTCACACACCCTTATTTTTTTCAATCTTTATATATTAAAACCATGTTTTCGTTTTGAATAAACTGCTAAATTTAAGCCTCAAATCCTAGTGACATATGCTAGTTAAAGAAATCAAATCGTTTGAGATAGAACTATGTTTTGGCTTTAAACTCTGATGTGTTTAACGCTAATGTGAATGTTTCACTACTACTTAAATGATTTAGTATTCAGCATGTTAATAATAATTTAGACACAACCCAATTTGATTATGATTTAATGGAAAATTCTGTCAAATTACAGACTTCATCAAATAGCCTGCACAGGACATTTTTCCCTTTGAAATATCATACAGCCCCTGGGCAAAATGCAAAAAAACATGGTACATGTACTATATTTGTTTGAAAAATGCCATGCTAGTATTAAAGTTGTAGCTAAAGGTATTCCCAATTGACACATTAAGTAGTTTGTCTATGTGCTGAATGTGAACATGTTTGTCTTATTTTTGACAGGATCAGCTGTTGATAACGTTGCGTTCATAAATCCATATGTTACATATTGAAAATCTCAGTACAGGATTGTATGCTAGTGAATAAAGGACTTGAATAAATGGTATGTAATGCAATAGGTAATTCATATGTTGTAGTGGAACTAGTTTCAGGAAGTTTTCATTTTGCATAAATAATCTGTATTGATAAGGATGTACATGTAATCTGTATTGATAAGGATGTATATGTAATCTTTATTGATAAGGATGTACATATAATCTTTATTGATAAGGATGTACATGGTACATGTGATCTTTATTGATAAGGATGTACATGTAGTCTTTATTGATAAGGATGTACATGTAAGCTGTATTGATAAGGATGTACCTGTAATCTGTATTGATAAGGATGTACATGTACTCTGTATTGATAAGGATGTACATGTAGTCTGTATTGATAAGGATGTACATGTAGTCTGTATTGATAAGGATATACATGTAATCTGTATTGATAAGGATGTATATGTAATCTTTATTGATAAGGATGTACATAGTACATGTAATCTTTATTGATAAGGATGTACATGGTACATGTGATCTTTATTGATAAGGATGTACATGTAGTCTTTATTGATAAGGATGTACATGTAATCTTTATTGATAAGTATGTACATGTAATCTTTATTGATAAGGATGTACATAGTACATGTAATCTTTATTGATAAGGATGTACATGGTACATGTGATCTTTATTGATAAGGATGTACATGTAGTCTTTATTGATAAGGATGTACATGTAAGCTGTATTAATAAGGATGTACATGTAATCTGTATTGATAAGGATGTATATGTAATCTTTATTGATAAGGATGTACATGTAGTCTGTATTGATAAGGATATACATGTAATCTGTATTGATAAGGATGTATATGTAATCTTTATTGATAAGGATGTACATGTAATCTTTATTGATAAGCATGTACATGTAATCTTTATTGATAAGGATGTACATAGTACATGTAATCTTTATTGATAAGGATGTACATGTAAGCTGTATTGATAAGGATGTACCTGTAATCTGTATTGATAAGGATGTACATATAATCTTTATTGATAAGGATGTACATGGTACATGTGATCTTTATTGATAAGGATGTACATGTAGTCTGTATTGATAAGGATGTACATGTAGTCTGTATTGATAAGGATATACATGTAATCTGTATTGATAAGGATGTATATGTAATCTTTATTGATAAGGATGTACATGTAGTCTGTATTGATAAGTATGTACATATAATCTGTATTGATAAGGATGTACATGGTACATGTGATCTTTATTGATAAGGATGTACATGTAAGCTGTATTGATAAGGATGTACATGTAATCTGTATTGATAAGGATGTATATGTAATCTTTATTGATAAGGATGTACATTTAGTCTGTATTGATAAGGATGTACATATAATCTTTATTGATAAGGATGTACATGGAATATGTGTTTTGCCTCTTTAATGCTTTAGTCACATTAATGTACCAACATATCCAGGGTGTTTCATAAAAGAAATTCTTTGCAAACATCTGTTGTTTATGTTTTTCAATGTGATGGATTCAGTGCTCTCAAAACAAACCAAAGATTATTTTAATTGTGTTTTTTATTGGTGCTAGATTGTAGTTTATTTAAAAAAATAAATTAATCTTAGGTATGTGAAATAAGAAAATTGTTTTATTTTAATTTACTTATGAAGATGCCAGTTTGCTTCATCTTACTTGCAAAATACGGAATGTACAAAAATCTTGAAAGAGTGGTCATATCATCTAACATGTAATGTTTTCTTACACCTATTGAATAATATCATAGGGTGCACATAGTTTGTTTAATGGCTTATTACAATATTTGACAAGTTCAATAAAATTCCTATTTGATGTATATGTGTGTAAACTCATTTCATCACAAGACCTCATTATCAGAAAGAAAACAAAATGTCCCCAGCTGGAAAACATAGACTTACCGTGATCATGATCACCCAGAACAGCAATTCATCAAAATACCTGATGTTAGCTTTAAATTGATTTGCTAAATATTCCATTATCATGATCTGCATTTTGATCAAACTGAACCGAAATCTTGTCAGTGTTTGACTGGAGAACCAGCACAATCTCCAACAAGCAATTTACCTTCGAAAATTGTGAAAGATAAAATTTTAATGTATGACTCTTTCATATTTGTAAAACACATAAATGTAATTGGTGGATTCGTAGAACATACAAATATTTGTTATTTTTGCATTTTTAGGAAATATTTGGGAAAATTGTGGTTAATGTTTTGTTCAAATGTTGAATATAGGAGGCAAATTGTTTCTATTACGACTGGTGCTTAATGTTTATTGTGTTGATCATTTCATTTTTAAGGACAGAAATTAAAAAAAATATGAAAGTACATACCTGTATGCAGTCATTTATTTTGTTATTTTATATCCATCTATTGTCACACCTGTGAATTTTTATCTTGCATTAGATTCTATGCTTGGACCATAACTTGACTTCACAGTGAGGACAACAGTGATAAAGTAAACACCTAACTATAATAAGA